TTTGGGTGGCTCAGCTCAAGAAAGTAAAAGCAGATCCTTCAGCTGCTTTGTTTTAAATGTAAATGTTTAATGAATAAAACTCCCTAAATTATTACACCTTACTAGGCAGAAAGAAGTTTGCGGTTTTTTCCAGAGGTGTTGCTTTTTTATATTGGTACGCAAATGGTACACGGAGCATATAAGCAGCCACGGAGAATAAGCACTGATAATGGGCGATCACAGTACTTTGCTGACACTGTTTTAGCATGTCTTGCTCTCTATTTTTAACAAAGCAATTAAATTAAATATGTTTATAGGGTTTCAAAATTACAGAAAATCATCCTCTAAGGCTTAGGACTGTGTGCCTTGGCTGTTTCTAAGGCACTGATACTGAGTGTCAGCAGGCACAAGTCTGAGAGCAAGACATGAATCACAAGCAAAGAAAACTGCCTGATAACTCATTCCTTCTTTAATTCAGAATGTGAAGAATAATGAGTATTATATTTTTTATATCATGCAAAAAATGTAAGGGAAGCAGAAAAAAAATGGTGTATCTTATTTTCTGTGGCTGATGAAGAAGTGGAAAGTAGAAGAAAAAAATTCTTCTCCTTATGTCTCTCTAGAAAAGATAAGGCTTAAATTTTGACAGGTTACTTGAAAAGAGCATTGCATAGCACATATCCTTTAAATGCTCCTTCCAATGGCTGATGAAAGGGAAAGTTTATTGTGAATGCAATAAGTGACCTAAATAATATGTCTAATGAAGATATGTGTTGATGTGATTATGAGAAATGCTTAGCCTCTAAATATATAAATTTAAAATGGTAATTGTTCACTATGAGATACCAACCTTCCCTGAATGAATCACCCCTCTTAAGTCAGACTCTAGAAGCTTGTAAGCAGGGGAAAGGTATGGAAGTACCATGAATTTAATGCATGCTATGCGTTCTTATATATGTAGCCTAAGAGTCAAAAAATTAAACCCAAAAAAGCCTTTTGGACTGAAACACGGTGGTAATCTAGCAATGGCAAAGACAAAGTTACTAAAAGAACTCTGAAGTGCTGGAGTCAACAAGGGACCAAATGGCTAAGCAGTACTTTTTCTTCCCTCTCACCCCCTGGTACATACATTTTTCCTTAGGGTCAAAATCCTGTCTAAGAAAAAAGTGGAATATGGAAACTGAAGCTGACACACAAACTAAGACTTCCCATAAAATAAATATAGCAAGAAATATGAGAATATATGCATTAATAAGTGCACTTATCCAATATATGCATCTTTACCCTTTATTTAGAACGGATTGTACTTTAGTTAAATAAGCACATAAACGCATATTTTTTTCCTTAACAATTGGAAGCCTTTTCTTCTATGAATTTCTGTTGATTGCTGCTTTTTTCTTCAAAAGGTGCAACTTTAAATTTATAAAATGTAGTCTCAGACTAGTTGGACAATTGGGTCCTTCTTGTAAGTGCCCATCACCAGAACTGTACAGAAGATGCTGTATATGGCTGGGATTTCACACTAGGGCAATTTCTTCTGCTAAGCCCCAGGTCTAGTGGGAGGCAGAGCTGGTCAGCTTTGGCCTGTACATCAGGTATAATCTGCAGGCAGTATGTGTTTACACAGTTCCAAAGTAGCCGTAGTCAACCTAGTTAACTATCTGGGGAACACAGATAAAGAACAACACAAGTCTTTTCTGGTTTGAAAGATCATTTACAGTACACAGGAAAAGACAATTGTTCCTTGATGAAATTTTTTGTCAAGAATTTCATTATTTTTCTTAGATAAGGAGTATCACCTTTTCAAGACTATGCTTAAGATAATTATCTGTTTGTCGAGGTGTTCTCTGAATTGTTATTTGCCTATTGATTTGCCTTGACTATTGGCAAGGTGCAACTAAAACATAAGAGATCTTACAATCATTTCTGGATACTGGAAAATGTGTGTGCTCATGGAGGAACGGGGTAAATATTTAGGCCATAAATTGTGTTAGACATGGAATACATGTACAGTTAGAAAAGATGATCAAACCCTGAAGACTTACAATCTTGTAACTGATAATAGTAGCATGCTGAGGTAAAGTTGCATAATTTTCCAGCTTTCTAGTCTGTCTTTAATGAACATGGCCTCATTAACTTTCTTGAATGTATTCCTAAGTATAGGGAATGAACTGTTGCTATAGGATCCTTCTAGTTTAGTTCTTTGCTGCTAGGCAAAAGCTCCGCAATATTTTGAATTAAATGTTTAAAATAATTGCTTTTCCAGGAAAAAAAAAAAAAAAGAAAAAAAGGGGCGGAGGGTGTGTAGAGAGCATTACATTATATTTATGCTTTACCTGTGTCCATTTTCACTTAGTATAATATCACTTAACAGTATAAGAAATAGTGACTGTGGATAGACTCTGAGATTATCTGTAAAGGGAGAGCTGTGATGGGAGGCTAGAAGACAAAAATACTCTAGGAATATATGGCACTTATTATCAGTTGCTTCATATAGAGCTGCTGAGATATCAGAAGAAAAAACAACCATACTCATTTTTCCACATGAGTACCCACAGCAATGCAGATAGCATCAGGTGCGTACAGCTGTAATGCAACCATATTTATCTCTATACAAGAATAACACATGGGAGAGAGATAAACGGGCAAACATTTAGCTGACTGCAACAAATATCTTTACAAATATGGTTGCATTGTCTACACGGAAAAGGAATTTTGAAGATCTGAGATCGAACAAGTAAGAAAGAAGATGTTGAGCACTCTCAGACCTGTACAAAAGAGAGTAGAGAGGAGTATTCAACTATTGCCTGCTCTCACACTACACTGTAGGCTGACAAGGTAGTATATCAAAACTGCTTTGTGCTGGTTTTGACTGGGATAGAGTTACTTTTCTTCAGAGAAGCTAGTGTGGAGCTGTGTATTGTATTTGTGCTGGAAACGCTGTTGATAACACAGGGCTGTTTTAGCTGTAACTGAGCAGTGCTTACACAGAGTCAAGACCTTTTCTGCTTCTCACACCACCCCCACAACAAGCAGGCTGGGGGTGCACAAGGAGCTGGGAAGGGACACGGCCACAAGAGCTGACCCCAGCTGACTCAGGGGATATTTCATACTTTATGGCATCATACTCAGCATTTAAAGCTGGGGGAAAAAGAATGAGAGTGGTTCGTTTGGAGTGATGGCATTTGTCTTCCCAAGTAACTGTCACATATGATGCTTTCCTGAAGATGGCCGTACACCTGCCTACCCATGGGAAGCAGAATAAATTTCTTGTTTTGCTTTGCTTGTATGAGTGGCTTTTGCTTTACCTGTTAAACTGTTGAAACCCACAAATTTTCTCACTTTTACCCTTCTGATTCTCTTCCCCGTTCCACTAGGAGTGAGTGAGCGAGCAGCTGTGTGGTGCTTAGTTGCTAGCTGGTGTTAGACCATGACAACCTTCCATATAAAAGTCACATCAGTGTTATGAAAATGTTATTGCCAGGTGCTGACTGGACTTTGCCTTTTGATTGCCTTGGGGAAAGGATAAAGGGAGAAACAGTCTACATTGTTGCCCCTCATGTAAGTACAACATACTAGTCCCCCATCATTGCTTCCCTTCATTGCCCATATCCTTCAACAATAACAAAGCTGAGCCTTTCCTCAGAAAAGGGGTACTTTATCTTGCAAAGGCGTGTGTTTGAGATAAAAAGCTTCTCTGCCTGACTGGGGGTCTGCCTACTTCTCATCATAAGGCAGAATAATTTCATCCAACCTTAGATACAAAATGATATTAGATAAACACATCTTCATTGCGTGGTTCTTTCTTATAACTGTTTCTTGAAATCAAGATATGTGGGCAAAGAAGCAGTAACAAAATTTTATAGGCAATATTTTCACTTTGCCTAGTTTAAAGTAAAAGAGTCAGCCTACAGATGACATAGAAGACAAAGTTTCCAACTTATTTTAAGTTTGTCCATTATTAAGCAAGTCCTTTCCCAAGGTACATAAAAAAAAAAAAAAATCACGGAATCACAGAATGGTTTGGGTTGGGAGGGACTTCAAAGATCATCTAGTTCCAACCCCCCTGCCATGGGCAGGGACACCTTGCACTAGACCAGGTTGCTCAAAGCCCTGTCCAACCTGGCCTTGAACACTGCCAGGGATGGGGCAGCTACAGTTTCACTGGGCAACCTGTTCCAGTGCCTCATCACTCTCACACTAAAGAACTTCTTCCCAATATCTGACCTACCTAAATCAACCCTCTTTCAGTTTAAAGACATTCCTCCTTGTCCTGTCACTACACTAAAATGTCCTATCACTGTCCTAAAATGTTACATCAAAGCTTGTCTTGGACCATCATTCTGAAGCTGTAACACAAGCTGTCATTTTGACTGTAAACTGGGATGAGCCAAATGTGTATTCGACTTTATTTGGCACAGAGATTTATAGAAAGGAAAATATTCACTTGTTAATATGGAATTTCATACCAGAAACAGCAAGTTGTCAGTTAAAAAGAAGAAAATCAATGGGAAATGCCTTTTCCTTGGCTTAGAAGTGGAATTATACTGTTCATAAAAAGCATGAAAAGAGACCCTATAATACTGTATTCATTTATTGGATAATTATGACTTTGACTCAATGATTCTCCTATACTTTGCAATTCCAGTAATAAAAATGGCCATTCTGTCATCATACTTGTGTTGTTATTTAGCAATAATATTTTTAGGAAGATATAACAGTTAACCGTGACTACTTAATTCTATAACACAGACTGTCTTTCAGGCAAAATTAGTTTCAGACACCATAGATCTCAGTATTGTATTGATATGTAACATTAATGCATAGCAAAAAACTAATGTTAAATGTTAAAATGGTGAATAGGTGTGTTCTAGCAAAAAGAAAAATGGAAAAGAACTTAAAAGGCTAGATATTTTAAATAAACTTTTGTTAATATAGCCCAAGGCTTTTTCCTGATGCTTTTCAAGCTGCAATAAAAATTAAATTAAATATTTAAAATGTGAACAAGCAAGTTTACTTACTGTTTCTTGGATGCCAGCGCACTGCATTTAAATATGCATTGCAGTAATGGAAGAGAAATTCATGGTTGGATTGGGTCACTTTTCCTTGAAGTAAGGGCATCAGATCATGTCCATCAATAATTCTGAGTAAGAAAGCATTTCAAAGTCAGAAGATTAACTCAAACCTCATTTTACGGAAAAGATTTCATATTTCTGCATTTCCATTACTTGAAAAAATAAATATGAATAGCCACCTCCAGTTGGTCAATTTGGAGAAAAACCTTCAGGTGCTCTTTCCCTTTGTTTCTTTATATTATTTAATGTAAATTTTACATTTTGCCATTAAGCAAGTTTGTTTCCTCAACAAATTTTTATCTTTTTTTCTTCACTTTTTTTTTTCTGAGAAAATGACCACACATTCATGAATAAATTGTGACAAAACAGCCATTCACGTATACCTGCTAAAACTGCTTGGGACTAATTTGGCCAAAGTAACCCTAAGACAAGAGAAAAACATGCTATATTGCGTTAGCATCCCCAGAAGTAATGGTAAGAACTCTGTCCAGCAAATTATGTATGCCAGGATTTGAAATAGAAGTAATTTTGAAGTTGGAAATGAACTATGTCTAAATACGTGTTTTTCAAACACAGAAAAGCCTTTGAATTGCCGAAAGCAGCTGGCAAGGAAGAAATCACAATCTGTACTTTAGACCTGTGTGAATTACAAATGTTACAAGAAGTTCTATAAGAAATTATTTTTACTGACATACAGTTCAGCAGTAAATTCTTTTAAGCATTTTGAGCAACTTCTCACAAAAACTTTTTTGAAACTTTTTTCAAAGTTCAATAATGTCTCTGTTAATTTTCATTACTGTGTAAAACCCTTTTCACATTAGTGTAACTACTACATCATGGGTACTAACTTCACTTTTTTAAGCCTATCATATGTATAAAATTCTTGGCATCAACTGTATGCAAAGGCACTTCTCAAAGGACGGTCAGGAAAACGTCCTGAACATTTTAAAGCTATGCTGTCCAATAACTGCTTTCTGGGTGCATCCCTGTCTGTGGGAGTCTGTTGAATTAGATTCTTTCTCATTTTCCATCTGTTGTGTTTTCTTGCCTGAGTAATGCACTTTTGTTTTGTCCCTTGGCTTGCTCCCTGTCGAGCTGGGAGCAGGACAGATGCATGCCAATTGTACACTTTCTGCTCTTCAGCATGTTGATAGGGAAAAGGATGTCTCCAGCAAGATGTCTCCAGTACTCTTGCATTCCCACAACTGCTGGTTTCAGAGGGTATGGGAGACTTTTCTTCCTGACCAACCAATGAGGCAGTAATTATGGCATCTAGTCTACACAGAAGAATCAGAATAGAGCAACTTGCAAGGGGAAGGTACACAAGTATATTGTGATTTCTGTCAGAGAACAAAATAAAACATCTATACTTGTTTTTCACTCAAGCAATATGAACACAAAGTGCATAAGATCTGCCCCCATTAAAAACAATCTGAAATGCTTAACAGAGTTACTTCTTGTAGGGCATCTCTGAAGACCAGCCTGACTAATTTTTCATGTCTTACACATGTCCTGCCCTGACATTTCCTTCAAGCATTAAATGAATCATCATTAGCAGAGTGTCTCTGCTCACCACTGGTTTTCCCCGCAGGGATTCTGGATGCCTTGTGCTCAGAAGCTGTTTGTATGTGGTAGATGTTTTCAAAGCATATGCATATCAGCAGGTTTCCCTATTTATTGGATTTGGATGGCAAGAGACTTTAGGTGGAGGCAGCTTGCTGCTGAGACTGGGTACCTTCTGAAAAAGACAAAACACAGGTATGCCGGAGTGCCAATAAAGCATCTTATGAATTTTAGAAGTCCAGTTTTCTTATCAGGCTTTAAAACTCTGTAAGGAATTATTTTCACTAATTTCAGTAGAGAACAAAAAAACCCCAAAACTGTGAAAAAAACCTAGCTGGCATTTTGATGCATTTTGTTATACTAAGCAGGCCAAGGTTGACCTCGTAAAGTTCAATTTACACTTGCAGTTCCTTTCCTACCACATTCACTCATGCAAAAGATAGAATTTTTTTATACATTCATTTTTGATTTTAGGAAATAATTCTAAGGCCTGATTTGACAGTATGCCGCTCTTGGTGCTTGTTCTGGTTTTGGCTGGGATGGAGTCAACTTCCTTTTAGTAGCTGGCACTGCTGTATTTTGGCTTTAGCCTGAGAACAATGCTGTTAACACAGCCATGTTTTAGTTGCTGCTAAGTAGCACTTACCCTGATAAAGGATTTTTCAGCCTCATTGTCTGCCAGTGAGAAGGGGCACAAGAAGACAGGAAGGATCAGAGACAGGACACCTGACCCAAACTAGCCAAAGGGGTATTCCATACCACAGCACATCATGCCCAGTATATAAACTTGGAGGGGTGGGAGGGGTGTGGAAAAATGGGGTAAATTAGACCACCTCACCCCACTCCCACAGTTACATTATAACCCTAAGGAAACCTTAGGTTAAAATGCAGCTGCTGCTTCCAGGATGGGATAGGGTTGGCATCTATGGAATCTACCTGATGATAGTTCCCAGGCAAACCTGGTTTCTTATCTCAGTGGCAGGGTTTACATTCTTTCAGTTCTCCTCCCCATCCCACCTGGGAAGAGGATAAGGCAGGGGGTGAAAGAACAGCTGCATGGCACTGAGTTACCAGCTGGGTTTAAACCACAACAACTGTATTCTCTTCTTTTTGCTTGATGCTTGTTATGCAAGTTAAGCTGTATTTACATATCATGTTTCTGCAAAATCTTTAAGTATATTGATCTTAAAAGAGACAGCATACTACTGTAAGTGATCACAAAGAAGTGCTTTTAAGCTCTATTTTTTCTTTTCCTTTCTACCTCTACCTTAATAGACATCACCAGAATGTATAAAACACTCATGAGACTTCCTCCAAAACAAAGATGACTACAGAGCATACCTGTCGGAGGGTAACTGTGCTTCAGCAAGTTTGACTACAGTAGGAAATATATCCATGTTACTTGTTGGTTCATCAAGATAGGCACCAGCCTGTATCATTCCAGGCCAACGAAGAAGCCCTGGTACACGAATACCTCCTTCCCAGTTCGTTGCTTTTCCACCTGAAAAACGTAAGTTTTGTTTGCTAAGAAATCAATTTCTTCTCAAAAAATAGCCACCCATAAGATTCAATTTCCAAATATTAAGCATTCTGTCTGTCTAGAATCTTTTCATCAAATGCTTTACCTCATTTTCAATTTGCTAGGTTTAGATTTTCCACATACAATCATTATTTTTCTCATAGTAAATCTACTAATATATATTAGAGCTTATAAAATGTGTTTAATTTACAAACAAAACTAAGTAACAGATGTAGGAGATAAAAAGGCACGTTGCAGGCATCTAAAGATAGAACTTTGCTTAGTGTGACGCATAGCTACATGAAGGTATAACCAAAAAACAGGAACTGAAAATAAATTGAGGTACGCCTATATGTCTGAGGTATGAACCCAGAGAAGATATAAGATATTTTAAAGATATAAGCTATAAAGATAAGATATATATAGACATAGATCTGTATCCTATATATAAATATACACACATATATATATACACATATATATAGACACACGGTCACACAATCTTGTGGCTGAAAAATCTTTAGCTCATGATTCTTTGTAATACAAATTTTTTGGTTACTTTTTTCATGGGCTTTATCAGAATTCATAATATTGAATAGTCACGGACATGTAATTACCTAGTCCAAAATCAGAAAACTTAGACTTTCTAATATCCAACATTACATCAAGCAACAATCTGTGCTTTAGTTGGTTTTGGAAAGCAGTGCCAAGTTCAGAGCTCAGCACAACTATCTGTCTTTTAGAGCAGCCTGAAAAATTTACTCTTGTTACTGCGTCAGATGCAATTCCATTCTCACGCTAAAGCATGTGGTTTCCTATCCTAAAGCTCAGGAAAGAGATACTTGCATTATTTTTGTTTACACTGTTGTAGAAAATTCCATTTTAAAAAAGAAAAATCTAAAGAAAATGTATATTTATGTTTATTAATGTGTTGCTTGGTGAGGTTTAAAACACCTGTCACCTAGGAGAAAGAAGTGTTCACCCAACAGTACGATGATTGGTTGTTAATTCAGCTGAGACCAGGGTAGATGTCAATGAATTGTAGAAAAGATGGCTCTACCCATGTACAACAGTCATTAGGTTTTTAAAACTCTGGTGAAGATTATGTGTGACTTAGCAGGAAAGTGTTAAGATTAATATCCTGACAAAACTATGGTTCACAGAAAATCCTACCGAGAAGGGGGGGCCCTCAGTTCAAGAAGGACAGGGAATTGCTTGAAAGAGTCCAGCGCAGGGCAATGAAGATGATTAAGGGAGTGGAACATCTCCCTTATGAGGAGAGGCTGAGGAAGCTGGGACTCTTTAGCTTGGAGAAGAGGAGACTGAGGGGTGACCTCATCAAAGTTTGCAAATATGTAAAGGGTGAGTGTCAGGATGATGGAGCTAGGTTTTTTTCAGTGATGTCCAGTGACAGGACAAGGGGCAATGGGTGTAAACTGGAGCATAGGAGGTTCCATGTGAACATCAGGAAAAATTTCTTTACTGTGAGAGTGACAGATCACTGGAACAGGTTGCCCAGGGGGGTTGTGGAGTCTCCTGCGTTGGAGATATTCAAGGCCCGCCTGGACAAGTTCCTGTGTGATGTACTCTAGGTTACGCTGCTCTTGCAGGGGGGGTGGACTAGATGATCTTTTGAGGGCCTTCCAACCCTTGGGATTCTGTGATTCTGTGAAAAGTAAAAGGACATAAAATTACAGGTATCCACAAATTAAGATATTTTCAGTGAATAGCTATGCTGGGGAGATGATTTAGTTCATGAGATGGATCCTAGTTCTGTGTACACATCACAGCAGCTTGTTGGATGGACAGTATGGACAGACAGAAAACTCAGCTGATCTATACCATAGGTAGCTTTTAGTGCAAGGTTTCCTTTATTTCTCTATACCTGTCTGAACCTAGTGACAGTGCTAGATAGACTGGATTGTTTAAATAAATTCTTGTTTTATTGTTGCATTCCGTGTAATCTGAAGAGAGAGTAATTTCAAGGTAAGTGGAATTCTATTCCCACACGTTGAAATTCTTAAAACCTAGATATTGGATCACTTTCACAGCTCCTAGGTTCACAGCCCAATTTTCTTGAGTCATTACAGAACAGGACAAAAACTTGCACATTACCCAAGCACAAAGGGTGCACTCAGCAAACTCAGCCTCCCTGCTGTGAGATACAAAAAGCAAAATGGACTCCACAGCAGGGCTATCTCCTCACTTATGTCCGTGAAGAAGTGACTGCTGTTTCCCTATCAAAAGACTAATTGGAGCATAATTTTTTTATATCTCTGGAGGTTAGGAATAGCAAGGAACCAGGGCAGGAATTACAGGTCCATTGCGGAAGACTGTCTTCTATTATCTGTGCCTACATGGTGTTCATCTTCATTAGAACTAGTTTTACTGACATCACTGGAGTTGCTTAATGATATGATATGATTACAAATCCCTTGATATACATTGTCTTTACAACTCTAGCTGTTAAATGTTGTTCAAGCTAGCTACATTCTTTTTTCTTTAAAAAAAACCAAACACCAAGGGTTCACTACTAATGCTTGAAACATAAATCAAACATCCAAATAGATAAAATATTAGAAGTAAAATAAAAAAAATCACAGTAGGTCATTATTTTAAAATAAAATATTTTGATATTTAAGGATCTGACTCATTAGTTTTACATTCTGCTTGAACTTGGCAACACTGAAACAGAGAAAAGACAGCAACCTAGTAGTCTTTATGCCCAGCAAACTCTAGGCAGCCTAGCTATATATTATTTTTCTTCTCTTAAATTCTTCAAAAAATATTTTTAAAACAGCATAAAACACCCCAGGCTGTATTTTCATGCTTAGCTATCTATGCTTTCTGAGTAGCTGCACCCTCCAGTGCTATATTGGACAATAGCCTACATTTACCTTTCCTGAAAAATCTGCAGGAGCAGACTAAGTACAGACATAACTCTTTGCAGTCATCCACAACACGATGCCAAATTTCCATTTTAACCTCATTTTAAATCTTAGCTATGAGAATATTTCTTTTTTTCTCCCTCTGGTTTAAACTGACTGCTATTACTGAACTCTGGGAACAGAGCTTTTACAAAAGATGATATATAAATGGGGAACTCTGTGGTATATCACTATTAATATTTTGAATAATGAATGATGAAAACTATTTAAAATAACTCGCTTAGATCATTTGGGTTATAACCATACTGCCCTTTCTGTCCTTCTTATATTCTTCTAAAAACAAAGCTTCCAAACCCAATTAATTCTCTTGAATTATAGAAAAATGCAAGGAAATTAATTATTCTACCCACCTGTAGTGGATTTCATGCTACTATTCGTTACTTTAGTAAATGATCAAACAGCAATTTCTTTTCAGTAGCAAGTTTACTATTTCACTGATTTTTAATCTGGTTTATATACCTTTGTTAATTTTCAACTTGAGCTGTTCTTGTACAGGTGAACGCAACAGATATAGCTTATTTGAATGAATCTGACCTGTCTTCCAATCAAATGAGAGGGTTTCTAAAGATATTTTCTCTTTCAGTTAAAATTACAAGACGGGTTGAATATATAAAAATCTGGATTGCTTCAGAGAAAATATAAAAGCTCAGTTCCAGCTCTCATTACAATCAAAGAGGAAACTCCAACTAATATCACTAAATACGCAATAGCAGAGTTCCTGAGGCCAGAGTAATGGTCAGCTTGATTATTCTGTGACTTACAGATAGGAAAAGGTTTACTACTAGCTTCAAGAAACACCGATGAATGAACTTATTACTGCAGTATATGAAATTATATAAAAATAATAAGCTTCAATAAAATATTGAATAGTTGATTCTTGCAGTCCTTGTTTAGCACTCACAGATCTGTAGTAGATGTAAAAATCAGAGTCTAAGTCCTTTAGACACATTCATTATTATTTTCCATGGATATTAACAAAGTATCTATGAATATACCTATTTTTAAGGCACAAAGCACTTTGAATGAATGTTGTACAAATGGTTTACCATTATCAGTGTTTGACTCCATTAGCAGATTCATGACCCACTCTAGCAGCATGACAGTAATCAAGTGCCTGTATTCATTGTGTTAAATGCTCCACAAGTACAAAGAAAGACAATTTTTCTAATATGCAGGTCCTAGGTACAGCAAATTATATTTAGATACACATCAAAAAGAAGCTAACAGAGTAATAAGAGATACAAGGAGACTCCATAGAAAATCCCACATGTAACAGAGTGGAATAAATGTCAATAACTGACAATGAGGGACGATTTCCACTGTTTGAATATGTACCAGTGGAATAGTATAATGATAAAAGGTATGGAGAAAAGATTTTAATGCCTTTTCTGTTTACTGCTATAAAGTACGGAATTGAAGAGACGCATTTTATAGCACAATTTTATAAAACTTATTCAAGGAATAAGTAATTAAGCAACTAAATAAAACTTACCACAATATAATTAGATTCAATATATCAGGACACCAAAAAGAATATAGTGGCATCCTTAAGACCATCTTAAACAGTGTGTTTATTCAATTGAGCAAGTATTCTATTCATCTTATCCTAAAACAGAGATCTAAAGTATTTTGGAAAACTAACCTTAGGTAGCTAGTTCCTGAGGGAAAGCTAAGATGACTAGCTCAAATGGACATGCTTAAATTGCAGATGTCAAAATAATGAGAAAGCAAGTGAAAAACACATAAGAAGAAGTCAGAGCAGGTATCCTGCATATCACTTTAAAAAAAAATACCCCAAAGTTCCATACCTTTCAACACAGAGATATCACAGAAAACAAACAAAAACAAACAAACAAACAAACAAATCTTGGAAAAATACCTTAGAAAGTTTTAAGAGACTTCAGTTAAAAACAACAGTTGCCATATTTTGATCTGAAAATGTTAATTTTAACAGGGTGAAAACTAATTTATATGTTATAAGTCATAACAACTTTTATAAACAACTTAGAGGTTATAAATTATACATGCAATGTGACTTACATGATAATATATTAAAAATCATTCAGTTACCTGATAAAGAGATAGACAGGAAAATAAATAGAAACAAAGATTTAAAGAGAAAAAGGAATCATAAACTTGAAGTTTCCAAAGAAAATAACTGGCCCAAAGGACTCAAAGGACCACTAAGTCCACAGGAACTACTAGGTTTCTTTCTCTGATCACTGACCAAAATATTGAGTAACCAGGCAAAATGCATTATCACATATGTACCCAGGAGTCCTTCAGGAGTTCAGATAAGAAAGTCTTGAGCTATTGGGAAAAAATTCTTACTGAAATAGCTACTATTTTTTTGTTTGGAGGCTGTATCCAGATTTCAAACTTTGAAAGATCTTTGAAAAGGACCTTCAGAAACAGTTTCAGGAACATAAATCATGGGTTAGGAGACAAAAGGTTGTCATGAATCAAAATCTGACTAACAGACAGGAAACAAAGAGATAAAACAACAGCCTGTGACACTATGCAAAAAAGTTAATATTAAGGTACCTTGATGCTACTCTGTGTTACATCCCTTGCTATTTTAATATATTTACTTCAATTTTGGAAGGGAAGTGAGCTGTGGAATTGAAAATTCCATGTATGACACATTGATCAAATTCAGAAGAAAAGACAATGGACTTCACCCCAAGCTGGATGGAACAGGAAACAAGATGCAGGTTCAAAATCTATAAAAGTATTTGCAGCACAAATGACCATCAGAATAAAAATTACTTATTCTAAGTAGTCTAACTAAGGCCATAGGCCTTAGTTATTCATACCATAACATTCACTACACACTTAAGAAAAAGGACCTATGCAAAGGCTAATGCTTAATGCACATCTGTAATTAGTAAGATACAAAGACAATAGGCAATCTATAGGATCTAATGGATAATATTAACAAGTAAGTATACAAACAGGTAGTGGCAAAATGTGAAAGGCAATACTTGCAAAACCATTTTAAAAGACTATATTTTGCAATTAGAAAGAGTTCAAAGAAGAAAATAATGAGAAATTAGGGACAAAAAAACCCTCATCAGTTAAGACTAAAGAGAGAGACTGGGGAGACAATTCTTTTCTGAATGAGGTATTAAAGAGAAAGAGGCATAATAAAAGGATATAAAAGAAAGGTAAAATGTGGAAGTTATAATAAGTTTTCCCTCCTTTATCCTATATCAATGAGGAAACAGTATTAAACTTCAAGATGTTCAATTAAATTTGCAACAGTCCCATTTCAAAACAGTAAATGAAAGCACTGTGCTTTCATTGCCAAACTATTTAGGCTATGCTAAGAATTTAGAAAGACTCAAAGTAGTATTTCATCTTCCTAGCATTTATATAACTAATGCTAAAGTTCTTTGTAGAATCTAAATTGACAGGTTTCACAACTTAAACCAAGGTTATACTACCTGGGACTAGGAAAATACCTTCTCAGGGACCTTCTTTATTTACTACACAGCTCCTGCACCTTCCTCCAAGGAAGTATCCTGACAATTGTCAGAAAAAGGCCATTGAAATCATAGGCCATGATTTTGATCCATCACTGCAATATTACTATATAATGTCTTCTGGAAAGGATATTGAAGAGAGAGACTGTAAATGTAAATGGCAGCAAGTAGTTAAACACTATGTTAGCTCTGGTCTCTAATTTCAAGGTCTATACAAATTTATGGTGACTGTTGCAGTCAGAACCCAAAGTAATAAAACCTTCAAAAGCAATTTCCCCATTCTGCATTCAGTCTTGCAGCACTAGCCTAACTCTCCAAACTCCTCTTAAAATTTATTATTGGTGCTCACTTGGCTGGATATCAAGACAAATTAGTGAGTTTGAATTGTGGAGATCTTTTGAGAGCTTTTGTTTTTAGGGCAGAATCAATTTTTGCTGAGCATACTGCTCCAGCTCAGACAAGAGGGTTAAGTGTCTTGATTCATATTCACATTCATGCAGTGCTCGTGCAAAAAGATAAGTAGTGCAGGTTGTATAGCAGAGACAATCTCTGGTAGAAGAAAAAAAGACGTGCATATCTCACAGCTTTATCAGATGATGCAAACACCTAGTGCTTGCACACATGAAGCACAAGCAGCATAAAGATAAATCTTCAGCTTTTTTTTTTTGGCATAATGCTATAACAGTGCGGAGACCTAGGGCTTCACAGGTCTGATATCCATTAAATCTTGCAGAGATGTACAGACCTACAGACCTCTAACACTATTTATTGTACATGACTTTTAATATGAATAAAGTCTTGCTAATTATGCAACTGATTGATCACTTCTACTTCATCCCTTTTGAAGATTTAGTGTGAGGTGTCCCTGCCCATGGCAGGTGGGTTGGAACTAGATGATCTTAAGGTCCTTTCCAACCCTAACTATTCTATGATTCTAAGAAAGATGATCCATAACATACTTGATAAATTGAGGACTGATATGGAGATGGAAAGAGTGGAAGATAAAGCAGAATTCATTGTATTTTTAAAAGACAGAAGTATATTCAAATGACTGCATTGATCTTTAATTTATTTCTATTTTATTAAGAATGTCTCTATGCAATATTCTTTTCTGTTTCTTATATAGTGATTATTTTCTATCCCATAGTATAGTACAACATTTGCCAGCATAGCATAGGTAGTAACTGCAAACAGCACAATTAATATTAAAAATCACTCCCCAAATAACTGTATCAGTCAGATTTTTTATTAATTCAGATTTATTTCAAATAGCTCTCCATTCTGCAAGCATGAATAAAAAATTTTGCAATGCTTGATAGAAAATGCTCAATTCAACCATGAAGTTCCTAAGGAAGACATATTCCCCAGTGCATTTGTCTTTTCTTCTGCCTCATCATTTATCCTGTATCTTATGTCTGGCATTCTAGAAGGCAAGTATCTTTTAGAGCTTCTAAAACCCCTCAGGCTGTGCCTACAGCTACGGATATGTAACCATATGGTTTCTTAATTACTTAAATCACTATGTAAAGCCTATGTGCTAACAGTCAAGATACATTTCACTCTGGTGTTAGCTGAAGGGGACCCATCTGATAGTTTGGAACCTGATGACTGGTGTTGCTCATTTTGCTTGTGTAGCATTTCCTTCACACACAGCTCTTTTAAAGCACAAGGGTCATTTCTCAGGCAGATACCTACTGACTAAAAACTGTAGAGTCTTCTCACTTGAAAACCTCACTGTATTGTTATTGTTTGTGTTTATTTTTCTTCCTTTTTTGCAGTTTTTCAGATGTTACATAACTAAGAGGAATGGCTGATCCATTGGTGGTTGTGCTGCTATCCAGAGGGACCTAGACAGGCTGGAGAAACGGGCCAAAAGGAACCTCATGAAGTTCAGCAAAGGGAAGAGAAGAAAAACCAGCTGAACATAGCCACTTCTTGGTGAAAGAATGAAAATAATTTTATCTCTGGTAAAACAAGAATATTCATCACATTTACTTAAAAATAATAAAAACAAGCATTCCTACCCTGATACAGTGAGATTATTAACAACATGTTGACATGCATTTTCCTAATGCTGTGTGTCTACTACTTGCACATTGAAAAACTGTTTTCTGTAGTTTGTCAGAAGGAATCATTTATTTACTATTTGATAATGTGGTCAATGAGCAGTCTGTGACTGACTAATCATAATCTTTGATTATGACCAGACTGACTGAATGTTATAGTCATGCTACCAAGCAGAACTTTTCCATCTCTACATCCTTCATTCGCTTATTCTCTTATCTCTTCTTGTCTGCTTTAAAAAAAGAAAAAAGAAAAAGAAAAAAAAATTCTGACAATAATTATTTTCATCCCCATGTTGGAACCATGCACTCAAACGTATCCAGTGATGTGGTACATTCCTACTGACTGAAGGGAATCACCATGCCAGAGATATAGGAATAGAAAAAATGAGGAAGGCTATTTGCTAAGCTGGAATTTTTCTTTTTTACAAATCACCATATTGCAACAAAAGCAATTCCTTTCACTACTGCTGTATGATGTCACCAGGAGAAAGTACACTACAATAAGGTAGACTTTAAATGCATTTTAAGTCTCCACAGAATAAACAGATTTTGTTGTACTAATCTCCTCAAGCCCTTCAGTAAAATACAACTAAACTCTGTCCTTTTAACTAAAGTCTCTCCCTTTCTAAATCAGCCCTCAATTCAGTGTGTTATGCACTATTTTCAAAACTCTCTCAGTATTTTCTGCTTGAAGTCTTGTCCTTTTCTGGCTATTGTTGCCCATCCCAAACTCAATCCAGCTCTGACTTTTTTCTTTCTTTAACCTAACTTTCCTTTTCTACTTTTTCTGTAGTGACTATAATGGACTCTGTTCTCCCATCTTCTCTGTATATTCTGTTTCTGTGATCCCACTCACTCCATGGTATTTAACTCCTAATTATGATTCCTGGTGCCTCACAAACCCCCTTTTTTCTGTTCTATTCTGCTATACGGCCATTATAGTAAGTACTATGAACTGACATCCTTCCAAAGCTATATCTCTGCCCAGTTCAGGAGTATATTTGCTAGTGTTAAAACTCCACAAAGCTCTGGCTGATTATGTACTCTGATTGAGCTGCTGTATTTGACAAGTAAATCTTTTATATTTACTACCTACTTTTGAAATTTGGAATGACAGTCATGAGAAGTTTACTATTAGGGAGTCAAGTTTTGACCTTGGCCATAGAGTAAGTTAAAGTTTTGGAGGGAAAACAAAGAGATTATAGTTTCTGACAGAGATTTTAAGAATCACCAGAGAAAGTTCACCTTTATATATGCCATTGTATCCTCCATGGACTTCTCCAGAACTGGAGATTTCTTCCACATGAGCCCCTTGGTCAGACGTAAAGTATACGAGAGTTTTATCACTCAGATTATATTTGTCCAGCACATCCAGAATCTGCCCTAGGAAAAAAAAAAATAAGAAAATGAGAAAACAGCTTTAATGTCTTTGACTGGCTTTTTCATTAGCCTTGGCACATACAAATATTTTTGTCCTTACACCTTTTTAAGATCACTTTCCACACAAATACTATTATACATAGCAATTGGCCTCTTGCAGCATACAGTAGGGGACAATTGCGCAAACCTTGTTGCAATCAGGACCATGGTTCGATTGCTGCAGGGTTGAAGCATAAAATAAGAGGATTTGTGCACATCAGAGAAAAAGGCTGATCCACAGGGAGCCAGTGACCTTTGGAAGCAGTTGCTCTCAATCAAGGAAACCCCTCAGCAAGAAGATTCAAACCGCTGAGGATATCTCAGAGTCTCAGCATGCAGAATAGAGCTAATAGTTTGGGGGTAAAGCTTTGCTGCTTAGCAACCTGTAGAGGCAGCATGGCAAAAATCTCAGTGCGAATGTTAGAATAAAACATTCTAAGAAAAAAAGGAAGTTAATGTATGGAGTACCTCTGAAGGCCCCATGTTTTGTTATCAAACCTACTAATTAGTCCCTAATTTCTCATGAGATAAGAATAAACATCAACTAAACTCAAAATGTGCAAATTAATACATACACATGCACATTTTAAAAGAGGAATCCACATGGATGTGTTCTGTAACTCTAAGCCATATGGGCTTATGCTCCTTTTTCACAAATGACTCCTCATACTGGCACTGTGGAGAGCCTTGCAGGACACGTAAATTACATTCAAACCTATTTAGATTGAATTCTTTAAAGATGGTTTCTCTATGAAGGAGAATGAAACCGCTCTTTGTAACTTGCTCCAGTGAATTTCATGTGGAATTTAAAATTATTGGTCCTGGAAAATGATCAAGGTTTAAGAATATACTTCACATCAGCCTGCAAATGAGCTTTAACCTCGTCCTTTAGGGATCTTAGAGCATATAAAGATAATTCTGTCTTCACAACCATTTTATCTTTACTCTTTTTACTTAAACATCCAAGGTCAGTCCAATTTCAGTGTTAATTTTGATTTGCTCGACTAAAAATTAGTTCATCAGCTGATGCCAAATTATTGTGTCAAGAAGGCTGAGATAAGAACTTTGAAATACGGAGTCTTCTTTAAAGATTTTCAGATCATATTTCTGTTGCTATACGCTTTTTTTTTTTTTTTGGATAAGGAGTAATTACCTTACCTTATTGCTACTATTTCTACATGTCTTTTAATGTTATAGCATTCTAAAACTGCCTTTTTAAAAAGGCTGACTGTTTTAATTTCTCATCAGCTCAATTGACTGGGTGATGAATAAAGGAACATCAGCAGTTAAGAAGGCAATACCTGTTGGTCTTGTTTGTAAACTAAGAGCAAAGAAGAAATGTAAGAGCAAGAGGGTTTGTTTATGTAAATTTTGAAACCTTGTGGGAGTAGAAATTTCTCAACAGAGCTGAGAAAAGTCTGTTACAAAGGCTGACGTTTTAAAGTTGGTGGGTTGAGGGAAAATCATGCAGATCCATCTGACAAGTCACTGGCTTGCTGCAGTGGGTGATTGCCAGAAAAGAAAAAAGGCAATTTCCAATTGGCCTCTGAGGTTGTCTGGAGAATGTACTTGCTAAGTAATTACCATATCCTTTGGAAAAGCTGCACTGATTGTAGAAAAGTAGGGTATGCAGATAAATTAGGGCATTATGTGTGGATATTCAACCACATGACCTCCTGAATTCTCTTTCAACAACTAACAATCTATGGTTTTGTGATTCTATGATTATAGTAATAAATGGGATTGCACAAGCAAATATATGTGCAATGGCAGGCGCAAATATATTTTTATTTACATGCAGTTTTTCATGATGAAAAGGGATTTTACAGTTCACCCTGTATATAAAACAAAATGAAAATAAAATGAGAATTCTGCTCAGTAAATCACATTAAATAATCTCAGAGACATCTGCTGTCATTCAATAATGGATATTTTGATTTCCTAATCATTTCAGGAAAAATGAAAAGCAATGAAAAATATCTCACTATCACAAATAATTAAATAGTCATCATTATAATTAATTTTTTTTTTTCCTCTGGAAGCAAGGTTGATTGGCTTGACTTGGCCTGAAAAAAAGATAAATTCTGGCACTCGAATGTTACCATTTCAGAAAAAAAACCCAAGAAAACAAACAAACAAACAAAAAGAATCCACCACCAAACCAGTCAAAAAACAACCAACCAACAAACAAAACCAAAAAAATGCACAGAAAGTCTCATAAAAGCTTGTCTAACTCAGTGGTAAAACTTCCATTTTCTTCATTTGGATTTTTAAACACAAAAAAGATTGGTTACATTAGCATCAATTAACAAATGCTAACATGACAGTTTATTTTAGCAACAACATTTTGCAGTACAGATGGACTAATAGTCACAATTCAAATGACACTATTGTCAGAGAATGGCAATCACAAATGCACTCACAGAAATGAAGCAGAACTTCCACTTCTATTTTCATCTTGAACACTGCCACCTTCTAGAATGAAAACTATAAATAAACAATATAGTGCGTGCTACTAAGTGATAAGCCCCATAAAAATGCATTTGAATGATGTGGCCACTCTTAACACAAGCAACACATTCACTTACTGGCATTTCTAAATGGTAACCAATACAGAAGAAAAAATGCAAAGAATGTATTATAGGCCTCTGTGAACAGATACCTTTCACATGCAATATTACATCAATTTTGGAAGCAAATACTACAAAGTAGGCAAAATACATCCTCTACTGTTTTCTTATAACAATTTAACTTCTTTAACTCTCCACTTTCATTATTTCTGTCGATTTCACAGAGACTTTAGGATTAAGTTAAAAACAATACTGTGTTTACAAATGTGTTAGTGATTTGGAAAACTGTCCAAAGGTTTAGACAAGCAAGTGCATGAGCAAATGCATTCAATTAATAAATTATTTTACTGCCATTTGAAGTCAATAGGACTGAAATGTTATTTGTGTTAATTTGAAATAATTCAGTCTTCTAAAATTATGAATTAAAAAGCCCAGAATACAGAAGACCTCTGTGTAGGACAAAATATTGAGGAAAGCTTTAAAGTAGTTTGCCAGATCTGCAGAAAGAATCGGATTCAGAAGGAGGCTTAAGGGTCTGTCTCAGAACAAGGCAGTTGATGATAAAGGGAATTCCTGTAAATACAATTTTTTTCCCCCACGCCAACAGACTTTTAAAGCGCTCTGTTTCATCCATAATCTTCCAGTAATCTTGAGACAGTTACTGGACAAAGAGTGATCTGGGAAGATCAGCCATCACATCTCTACCTAGAAGCAGTAGTTCGTTGTGGGTTTTGTTGCTGTTGTTTAGTTTTCTTGAATTATTTTTATTTGTGTTTTCAGAATTTCCTACCAATACTAATGTTTGGTTTTGAGTAGAATCATTAATCAGAATCACAACTAACGTAATCAGCTGAAGGGGGTCACCTCGGTGAGTGGCAATTCAGGAGTACTTTCAGTACATGCATAAACTCCTACAAATTAACCTTACGTGCAGAAGTATCTGGAAGCCCATATTTCCCCCCCAAAAGATACTGAAGCTGTTCAACTATATAACCACTATACAGTAAACCTTTTGGGACCCTCTTCCTGCTACAGGATTTAATGAAGGCAATTCCACAGCTCATCATCTCTTTAGGAATCAAAGGCTAAGATTTTCACCTTATAAATACTTAATGTTACAACTTCTGCACACCGTCATGCAGAAGCTAACAATCATTTTAATCTCTACACTGATTTTGCATGATGAAAAAAGATACTTAACTCTTTAACTCACTGATCTCATTACAAAATACACTGACTAAAACCTTCGTATAAAAACAAGCTTAGACTAAGACATTCCTATCTTAATTTTTGGGTTTTTTTACATTTCAGGTTATAAATATGCAAATGTTTCTGTGGTATGCTCAGAGCCATCCAGTTTCCCCTTGATAAATATGCAAATCAGTTTGTCTCTGCAGAGAGGAAGTAATTATCACTTTCAGACCTAGTCATTGAGCTTAGCACTTGAGGTAAAGATGGAAAGTAATAAAACCATTGACAGCAACACAAGAAGTGGCTGCACATATGGTGAATAGTACATAAACTCTGCATGCACTTGTTTAACATTCAGAGCTAGAACACAGCTACTGGAAAGTGGAAATTCTGGGGTGAAGCAATAGGTTGATGTTACAGCATGTTATCTGAAGATGAGTGATTCTGCATAGGGGAAGTATTAGTATATGAACATCAAAGGTGAGGTGAATACTAGTTATGATAACTGCTTGTACTAGAACAGAAAACAAATGCATAACTAATTAAAAAATGTACAATAATTCCTGCAGGAAGAAAGTGGAGTATAGATTCAGTGGAAAGTCTTGAATCAGTCTTATTGTGCTATTATTATTTTTAAAGTTATTCTATGGAATCAGCCCATACAAAGAAGTCTTCTCCAAAGTACAAAATTGGAGTTTCAAATGTGCTCAGTTCTTGCTATGTGGGGTCTTTGGTGTCAACAGGACATTATGCCAAACAAGTAATACCTGCTTCTGAAAAAAAGCACATCTATACTAGTGTTTTAATTCAGATCAGGAGTGCATATTTCCAGTAAATCCAGTCAGGGGCAGTTAATATATTTTTGTTTGCATAGCAAAGCCCTCTTGGATTTTGCGACCTGGATTCCTTTCAAATGAAACAAAACTTGAGGATGGACTCCAGGCATGCACCTAAGGCACTCACACTGCTGATGGGCATTTGGTCTACAAGACCACAGTAGAGCTGGTCTGAAGTGGATTTCCCATCTCTGCTAATGTGCTGACAGTCTCTCTCCAGCTTTGAATAGTTCAGACCTGCCCCTGTTGGAAGTTCAAAACACGGCAGGACTGATGAATCCTACACTGAAACTCTGGTGTTAGCACAATCAAGTGCCACTTATGCACATTGTAGATACATGGGGGTGGGATCTACAAACTGTGTACC